AAGAATAAGGAAATTGCTGATAAATTTATGGAGGCTGTTATAAAAGCTTTAGACGGAACTGCGACACCAATAATAGAGACAGTTGGTAGCAATACTTCCATAAATACGTCCGCTAGTTCGGGACTGCCTTCGAGTGCCTTAAATATCACCGAAGAAAATGAGAAGCTGGCGAGCGATTTAAAGTTACCGTTAAATCTCTTTGAATCAGCAAAACCGGACTGTATTGGTTGCCGAGGATGTGATCCAGAAAAGTTCACCTTTACTGACGATGGAAATAATAAAATTTTCATTAATGAAGAGGACATTAAAAGCCTTTTGCTACCGATGGAATTGCCGCCTTTAGTTTTATTAAAGCAAAGCACTCTCTCACCTATTATTTCAACGACGGCAACAACATTAATAACGACAACAGCAGGTGCGTCGATAAACTTTAAGAAAAAGCTCGTGAACACTTTTAACGCCAGTGCAAACAACGTAAAAGAATCCGCTGACGAAACAACACCCGCGTCTACAACCGATCTTTCGCAGGAAAATCCAAAAACTTGTTCTATTATAAAACCCGGTAATATATTTGGTGGTTTCACGGAAATGACAAATGCGGGCGAAGAATCAATTTTCTCTGGTGTCGCAAATTCAACGTCCACAGATGCTGACAAAACACAATCTATATCCATTTTCGGAGGCACAGGCAATAGTTTACCTGGTGGTTCTATTTTTGGCCAAAAACCTCCAATATTTGGCAATAGCCCTTCCATATTCGGCGATACAACTAAATCGATTTTCGGTTCGTCAAATAATAACTCTAAGGGCGGTAGTATAAATACTTCCATTTTCGGCTCATCGTACACCAGCTTCACAGGTTTTGCGCCCAATAAACCCATAACCGCAGGTAGATGTGTATTTGGAAGTACGGAAATTCCCACTACGACTGCCGCTCATGTCGCTACTTCTTTGTTCGAAGGTGTTGGCACAAACACGGGCTCTGCAGGCACTGAATCGTTTATCGATTTGTCTAAAACTGCTACAGCTGCGATTGACTTTGCTAGTTTGGCAGCTCAAGCTCCCAAAGATGACAAAGCGGTGCCAGCATTAGCAAAAGGCAACGAAAAACCTGCCCCTTGTAATTTTATAGGTCTTACGGGCCAAAATGCTTTCGCAAGCTTTGCCAAACCGCTAAATGAACAAAAATCGAACGATAAGGATATAACCAAAAATGATAGCCTAAATGATGCGAAAAATAACCAAAGCGGCAATTGCGGTACTGCGGAAAACAATTCTACTGAGGAGAATTATGATCCTCACTACGAACCCATTATTGCATTACCCGAAGAAATTGTAATTACAACAGGCGAAGAAGAAGAAACTAAGCTCTTCGGCGAGCGAGCTACATTGTTCCGCTGGGATGATACCAACAAGGAGTGGAAAGAAAGAGGTAAGAGCAAAGATTGCTTGGAAAAACGCTTTTAATCTGTTTTTAATTATTTAGGCGTTGGAGAATTAAAAATTTTGTTTCATCCTGTCAAACAAACATATCGTATGCTAATGCGTCGCGAACAAATCTATAAGCTGATCCTGAATCATGTTGTTAATGCTGACTTTAGTTTCAGTGAAATGAACAAAAATCCTAAGAGTTTTCTATGGGGAGCCATGAATTATGCTGAGTGCCCCGAAGGAGTATTGGAAAAGTTGGCTGTACGTTTCAAAAATGTCAAATTAGCAGAACAGTTCAGGGAGCAGTTAAATAAATGTATTGCAGCGAATCAAAATCGCGATAACTAAAAAACTAAAGGATTTTTAAAACTATTAATATTAATATGAAAATAAAAGCATGTCGAGAAATTCTTTAAAAGCGACAAGAAATATAATGTTTTTTTTTTTACATTTTACTTTTACATTCACACCTCCGACGCCCACGGAAAAAGATGCGAAGAAATGTAGTGTTTCTAAGGTTAGTTTCGCACCTCAGAGAGATATTACTTCTTTTAAAATTATTGTTCCATTGGCATTTCATTCACACTTGATAGCATATGTCATATCTGCAAACGGCAGCTGGATAATTTTTGTGTTTTACCGGTGTTAGTGGAAAAATAAATAAATAAATAAGAGGAAAAAAAAAAACGAGAATTTAATATTTAAAAAAGGAAAAAGAAAGGGAAGAAAAGAGGGTTAATAAAGTAACCAAATTTTTTGAAAAAAACTTAAAGGAAGAAAAGGAGGGAAGGAAGAAGATGAACGTGAGAGTAAAATTAAGAAGCAATATATTGTTACGAAAATCCCAAATTCAGTTAAATGTCAGCTAAGTAATTTTCGTAAGAATAAATTCCCTAAAGAAGGGAAAACCAAATGAGCATTCGCAGGCGCCTCATGCAGCTGCAGGCCAATGAAAACGATTAGTGGAAAAGCAAACAGGTAAAAGCTAAGTGCATATTCGCAGGCTCGTCATGCAGGTGCAGGCCGAAGGAAACGATTAGAGGAAAAATCAGGCTGGGATTAGACCATAACCATAAATTTAGGTATAGTAACATTCTTGTAAAATTGTATATAAATCGAATATTTGTGACAAGCAGAGTTAGTCTGGCAAGAACTTAGAAGTTGAGAGTACGGCCAAAATATATCGTAAATAAATATTCCTACTGTTGTGAGAGACAAAGTAGTAAAATAAAAGAACTTTGAAGTGTATTTCTCTTGATCAAAATATCTACGATCTAGTGATACGGAATGTATCTTGTAAAAAGCGAATTTCGTAACAATATATATTAAATTTTTTGCCTTTTCGTTGTGATTCTTTTTTTGGTGTTCCCCGTGATAACCAAAACAACATCAGCCCGTCTCCCTATGGTTTAATATATTAAACAAATTTTTCATTGATTTTTTTTTCAATTTCTCGCGCCCCCCATTGTTTTTTTTTCAATTTTTCATATTTTTCATTGATTTTTTTATCAATTTCTCATATCTTTCACTCAAATTACAGTTAAGCTCCATTCATTTGATACAAATTTTTCATTGATTTTTTTTCAATTTCTCGCGCCCCCCATTGAATTTTTTTCAGTTTTTCATTGATTTATCAATTTTTCATTTTTTTTATCAATTTCTCATTTGAAGAGAAAATGTCTGTTTGTGCCAATTCTCGCCGCGTTCAAGCGCCCAGCGCTATAAGAAAATCCGAGGGAGTTCCTTCTCAAGTTTAAATATGATGTACTTTTTACAATATAATATCCAAAGTGTTCGACGTAACCTGTCGTTTTTAGAATTTTACTTGAACTCAAATAAGATTGATTTCTGCATCTTAAGTGAAGTTTTTCTGAAAGACGAAAATTGTTTTGAAATTAAAGTTCCGAATTATGCTTCATCATTTATCATCAATTCAAAGTGCCTTTCGGTCCGCTAGAACCGACTTTCCTCACATTGAGTCCTTCTCACCTAAACCTTGGTGGAACTCTTCCCTGTCGACACTTTTTCGCAAATACCAAGTTGCAAGGAAAAAAATGAGTAAATATGCCAATCCAGCCAGCTACGTGGAATATATGAAAACACTGAAAGAATGGAGGCCTGCAAGTAGAAAGGCGAAAAGGACACACAGAGCTATTACGATTAAAGAGTTACGTGATAACGGTAACCCATTTTCTTTCTGGAATTACATCAATCCACGAATATGTGCGTAAACGAACTACCTTTTCTCATAGCCAGCTTAAAAAAAACCAGGTAAAATGGTTGTCATGCTTTCCCTGGACATCAGCAAAGCCTATGACTGTGTCAACTTGATTAAGCTTGGTAGATTCAGTTAAACTTTTCGATTCCTCTTCAAATACGTCTGTGGATACTTAATTTTTTATCCAAGCGTATGTTGGTGATGGGTACTGAAAAAGTTGAAATATGTGGTTGTATCTCACAAAGCAGTTGTTTAAGCCCCATACTCTTTAACCTGTACACAGTTTCTTGTATGATCTTCAAGATGACGAAACTCATATTTTTCAATATGCAGATGATTTCCTAATTGTTTTTGCGGACTCATCTTTTTCAACTACTGTCAATAATCTTTCGATGAAAGTTAATTTTTTTTTCGACGCATACGCTGATCTCAATTTACATTTGAACCCCAGCAAAACAAATACTATTTATTTTACCAAAGGTTCTAAACGTGAAATCAGGCTCTTTATCAAAGGTACCAAAGTTGATCACGTGAAATCTCTTCGGTTTCTTGGTAATATTTTAAACGACAGCTTAACCCTTCGTGGACATTAGGAGAAAGTCTTCAAAGACTGTCAATCTGGATGTAACATCATTAAACTCGTGACTAACAATCTGTCAGGCTTGCCTCCCAAAAACGCTCTGCCTGCATACAAATCTGTAACGTTATGCTCTCTTGTATCGAGAGAATATCACTCAATCAATTGCAACGGTTAGGTATTTTAACAACGCAACGTTTATGATAAGTTTTTCCACAACCTAAACAAGAATGTGAAACAATAAAATTTTATCTGATATGAAAATTTATATGGGATTGGTGTGATTCAAACTTAACGTCACATTTAATACCTTGTCTTACTAAACCAAACAGTATTTCTCCGCAGAAATCACAAAAAGTAGGCGCTTTGTACAAATGGACACTAAGCTAATGGGATTTCAAGTGGGACTTTTCCGAGAACGGATATGATATAGCTGAGATAAGAAAAATATTTGCAATTGGTAAATAATATTCTTAAATTTCACTATATTCAATAGTAGCCGTTATATTTTTTAAATGAATTTCTTATGTTAAACATAGGGTCGTTCATTTTGTGACTTCGAAAGTAAAAATAAATAAAACACAATTTTGATTGAGATTTGGATCAACAGTTTTTTCACTATATTTTTTTGACCTTGTGGAATACACTGCATGCAAAGTTTTACAGAACTTATTATGAAAACAATGAAAGCAGGTGTACACTTCATACAAGTGGGATGCAGCTGATATTTGGTTAAATGACTTTGTGAATATCGGTTATTGTCCCATATCCGACTTTTACGTGTGCGAGAATAACTTTTTTACCATGAATGAAGAAAATGTAATAACCGATTTTTTGTGGCAAAAATTGAATGATTTCTACTTGGACAATATGCGGTTTTAACTAAATGATTCAATGATCGTGTAATCTTGAAGAATGCATGTGGGCGTTTGCCGGAAAGATCTTGCGATATAACTCTATTGGAGTTTTTATTGCGGGGTTATGTTAGAGGATGGGGTTTGCTTATCTAAAAATGCTAAAATTGTGATAGCTAAAGAAACTGGCATAGTCGAAATTTCCTAAGGCGCATGGTTTCTGGCATGTTTGCACAAAGATTTTTATTTAATAGCCCAAATTGTGAATCGAAAGACTGAAGACGTAATATTCACACGTTAGATGATAGGGATGAGAAGCTTTTTAGCCTGAGAGAAATGTTGGTATTAATATATGCCGTAGATTGCAAGTTTCAATATTTTTCCGATCAGAGACGTGTGGCGTCCTGTTTTCAAATTTATCATATGATTTGCAACTAAGGATACGTTTATCAAACTTATACTTCTCAACTTTTTCGACAAACGGGCGCAGCAGACTATCATGGCTAAATAGCTTCCTCAGTGGGGAGGGGGCAAAAGCTGCAGCCTATGAACCTTGTATGCAAGTAAAAATATAAAAGTGTTTTAAATATGGCGGGCGACAATGTTTATATTGCACTTCTTTTACTATTAACAGATTTATCCTCTACTATTTAATATTTTGCTTTCCTTTAATTAAATATTATTTTTAATTTATTTAACCAAATATTAATCTAATAAATCTATTACGATAGCTAGTCCATTGTTTACATGAAGAAATATATGTACACATAACAACATATGTAAGGGCTAACATCAATACATGGTAAAACTTACCCAAATATGTAAAAAAATATGTTGTAGTCAATAATTTGCTTACTATTATTTCAAATTTATGTGCTTTTTGAGTGGGGATGTTACATCTGCTGTACTGTTTTATATAAAGAAGTCTTAAAAGAGCGACCATTTGCTTGCATATACAAATAAACTAATTTTAGAGTAAGATATTTAAAAGCAATAAATGTTTATTGACTTCAGTTAAGCAATTTGGCATGGTAAGCAATGTGCCCCAACCGGATATAGTTTTCTTACGTGTTTGGCTTTATCTTTAAGGAGTTTTCAGATAACTAGATATACCGTATAAGGACACGATCAAAATAAAATTTAAGTGGAGCGTAGATTAGTAATGCTTTGAGGGTTTGTGCCTACCATGCGAAGGCATTAAAAGCTATTGGAATTGAAAAAAGAAAATAACTAAATAAAACCGTAACGAACTGCTTTTAATGTTGTTGTTTTTCAGCAATTAAACTGAGTTATTAACTGCTTGTTAAAATTGAAATGAAACTAAAGCATTTGATACGTTAAACGATTCAAAAAAAGCAATCGTAGGTATATAAGAAGGAGTTCTATGCTACTTATAAAGCTTTACTTAGTTTTGAATTTAAAAAAGTACAATGGAGCCTATCCCGTTTTGTGTCATTATTAGTGTAATGTGCTTGCTACTTCTGCCTTCATCCAGGCAAGCCCAAGAAGAATGTAATTGAATCAATTGAAAACAAGTTATCTAGTTACCTATGCAAGATATAAATATAAACTTCCTTCAAGCATGTGTTGTACTAATAAATTTTATGAATTCGTCTTTTCCGTTTCTTTTCATCATTACTTTGATGTTTTTGCTCCTTTCACTCCACACGCGCTAGTAACTACGGGCAAGTGTAAGAGAAGCTCTAAGTTGTCTACTATTCTCTCTTCTAT